CATTCAAACATACATACATGCATATTGCCTACAGCTTACCAAACATCTTTGGGAATACTTAAATTATTTATACAGCACGATCGAGATTTTAGAAGCAGAAAGATAGAGAGAGAGAGAAAAAGAGAAAAATAAAAAAGATGAAGTTAGATAAAACGAAAGAAAGAAAGGGGAAAAGAGGAAAGAGAGAGAGAGAGAGGAGAGAGAGGGAGAGAGAGGGAGAGAGAAAGAGAAATAAAAATAAGAAAAAACCAACAAAGTCGATTTGATATTAACTGAAGCTAATAAAATTATTGCGCCCGCCTGTCATCAAATTCCCAGCAATTTCCATTCATATCGTAATTTTCATCAGCGTCAGCAGCCACTGTAGCAGCAGCAGCTGCTGCAGCAGCATCACCACCATCATCATCAAATACCATCATCATCTGACCTGAAATAACCTCAGTGGTCTGACGGACACATCGAATTGAAGCAGACAGCTGACCAATCCTGGGCAGACTTGCTCTCTATCTACTCTTCTATTGGTCGAGAGTTTACCTGACTTTCGATCAAGGTCAAAAAATTGCATTTCCGCTTCCGGTTTGGTGAAGAAGGTTATTTCTAATTGGTCGAGATCTGATTGGGTCAGGGTCGAAGTGAGATTTCGGTTTGTGATGATATTTCCTATGTATGTGTTGGTTGGCTGTTCTTCAATGAGTGTGTATTCCAGGTAGTGGTAGCCGTTACTGCTGTGGCTACTGTGGCTGCTGTGGTTGTTGCTGTGGCTGCTGTTGTAGTTGCTGTTGTGGCTGTTGTTGTGCATATTAGTTTGTCGCTTTTTTTGTCTGTGATGTGTGTAGTTTTTGTTGATATAAATGTTGCTAATGTTGTTGTTAATGTTGTTACGGACGTCGTCGTTGTTGTTGTTGTTAATGTATTTAATGACGTCACCGTTGTTGTCGTCTTCGTCGTTGTTGTTGTTGCTTCTAATGACGTCATTGCCCTTCTTGTTGTCAATTGGTGGGTTTGCATGTTTACATCGTCTGCTCTCATAGGTAGTAGGACATCGTTGCAAGTGATGATGACGATGATTTTGATGATGATGATGATTATCATGACAATTATGATGATGATGATGATGATGGTGATGATGATGGTGATGATGATCGCAACAACAGCAGAACGTTGAATTTATGGTACAATTACGTAACGAATTTTCAAAGTTTTCTTCTTGATGGTGAGGACGACGATGATGATGATGCTGGTGAATATTATTATTGTTGTTGTTGTTTTTGTTGTTATTAATATTGTTATTATTATTATTACAGTAACTCATGTGCTGATGGTTTTGATAACACTTGATAAGAGATACGCCAAAAAGATGTTGTTGGTGTTGATGCTGCTGACAGCAAACAAACTGCAACATAAACAACAACAATTTTGTTGCGATGACGTAATAATGACGTTGTTTTTGTTGTTGTTGATGTTGTTGTTGCTGATGTTGTTGTTGCTGATGTCGTTGTTGATGTCGCCGATGTAGTTGTTGTTGTTGTTGTTGTAAATTCTGAGCACACAGCGATCCAATCATCATTCTCAATTTTCAAGAATAAAATTAAAATGTTGATAAGTTGATGTTGTTGTCGTTGTTGTTGTTGATGCTAGTGTTGTTGTAACGACTCCTAGAAAATAATATTAATAATTATTATTATAACTATAATAATTATAAATATTATTATGTGTAAATATATACATCTCATAGTTATATTTCTTTGTTATTTTCCAACTTTTTGAATAAAAGATAGACTGAATAAAATTGATCATATTTGCAACAACTTCTCACGGGATCACAATCATCGCCCAAGAGATCACTATCATCACCGGTTTTCGAATTTCTAGAGATCATTATCATGATCTATTTTGGAATTTCTCAGAGATCATTATCAGCGGCTGTTTTTGAGTTTCTCGGCGATCACTATCAGCACCTATTTTGGGAGTTCAAACGCTCCTATCTATCAAGGCTCGAAATTTATGAAAATTTAGATCTCAAAACTCGTGCATATACTGGGATTGGCGGCGAAGTGTATTGCGGTTCATTATTATTATTGTTGTTGTTGTTGTTGTCGTTGTTGTTGTTGTTGCTGTTGTTGTTGCTGTTGTTGTTGTTGTTGTTGTTGTTATTCCCATCTTTTCTTTCATAAAAGGTAAGATTAGGCTAAGATATAACAGGATGCATTAAAGAAAAATAAGATTAGCTAAAATGATGCTGACGACGACGACGATGAAAAAGATTATTATTATTATTATTATGCTACTACTACTACTACTATTGCTACTATTGCTGCTGCTACTACTACTACTACTGCTGCTGCTGCTACTACTACTACTACTACTACTGCTGCTGCTGCTGCTACTACTACTGCTGCTGCTGCTACTACTACTATTACTGCTGCTGCTACTACTACTACTGTCGCTGCTGGCACTGCCACACCTACTACTGTGGCCACTACAACTACACTACTTTTTCCTAAGCAACAACAACTACACGGACAACAAGGACATAAACAAACATCACTAAACACATCCTATAAACAAGCAAACACCATCAACAACTACTTATAAATAAATCGTTAACAATCTACCAGCAACAATAACAACAACTTCAACAACAACAACAATTACAACTATATCAACAACAACAATGTCATCTTCATCATCTTTTTCTTCAACAGCAACATCAACAACATCAACAACTACTACAA